CTCTTCTTCTCGGAGCCTTCCGGCGTTCCAGGACTCGCCTCTAACACCTAAGAGGTGCTAGGGAAGGGGGGAAAAGGGTTTGGGGTAATGGGAGAGAAAGAGTATGAAAGGTGTGAGTTTTGGGGGTGATTTACGCCTCTATTTATAGGCTGTTTGGGCCGATTCACGTCGTGAGAAAGGGTGCTCACGTGGTGAGCCTTGCGTAGGCTCCAAGGCGAAGTCTGGTGCTGACACGTGGCGCCGGACTCAGGTAAAACAACCAATCTTTAAAAATTCATAACTTTCGCATACGAACTCCGTTTTTGACGTTCTTTATGTCCACGCGTAGGTAAAGACAAGATCTACAACTTTCCTTTTGACTCCATCATAAACATACACAAGTTATTCAACTTAAAGGGCATTTTTCTGGATCACTAGCACACACAGCCACTAGTCTAATACTATCACATTTCTTGAAACGAATTTTATAGCCCTTATAGATGGAATAATTTGTTAAACATAATTTCAGTTCGTGTCTAGATTCATACCTTTCTCCAATAACCGGTTTCATCACATTCCATTTGACCTTCGGATTATGGATGGAGTATATGATTTCATCTTCATCACTAGATTCGTCAGTGTTTTCCTCATCATCTAGTTCTACTCGAGCATTTTCTCCTTCACCTTCCACTAGTTTGTCATCACTGTCTTCACAAAGAACATTAAGGAATTCATCTTTGCATCTTGAAACTGATTTGGTTTTTACAAAATCATCAACTTGAACGTCGATTGTGTCAGGCTTAAATACTTCATCCATCGCCAAAGGACACGAGCATAATCGATTGATCGATTTGTCAGAATAAAGGAGACGAGAAAAAGGGTTTTCAAAGAAAACCCTAAATTAATGAGGTCAACGATACAGTCACCATTAAGATGCCATGTAGACTTCTTTAACCGGGAAAATGAGGGTCACCGGATGATAAGGACTAAATTGTCCGGTTTATCCGGTTTATTGGGCTTTTTCATTCAAAAAAATTTTTTTAGGACTTTTTTGAAACTTTTGCCAAAATATAGGGACTTTACTGTAGTTATCCCTTAATAGTATGAGAAGATTACACTGTTAAATGTCCGCGTAAAATTCGTAACTTCTTCATACAGACTCCGTTTTCGTCTGTCTTTTTATCGTTGAGTTCCTATTAATGAGATCTTCAACTCTCATTTAGGTCGCGTAAGCCAAAAACCGCTCGAACTAAAATTCGAGTTTCGGGTCGTGCACTGCTAAACCAAATCTTAGAAAATTCATAACTTCCTCATACGAAGTCAGATTTGGGCGTTCTTTTTTTGTATGTTCTCGGTTTAATGTATACTACAACTTTCGTTTCGATCACTAAGGCTAAAAAGTCCTCCATCGTAATTTCACTATTTACGTCTCCCGGTGCCGTGCCGATTTTGCCGTATAACTTCGACGGGCCATAACTTCTTCATTATAACTCGGATTTCGACGTTCTTTATATGTACGGAACCCTTGTAACATATAATCCCACTTGGATAAGATTATTCCTTTTAAATAATCTTCCATCAAAAACTCATTTTTGATCCTCACTGTATCTAAATTGACTAGCCCGGATCTGCGGGCATTACAATTATCTCCCCCTTAGGATGATTACGTCCCGGAATTATCAACGAAATAGGGTTGTATAATGAATCCATGCGTTATCTCTTCATCCTAGGTAATAACCGTAAGTCCTATGTTCCTTTAAATTAACTTCTTTAATTGCAGGCGGTGCTCGATCTTGAATCCGCTCTCTGTCTCATGTTAGACTCCAAATTATGACCTTCAAGTCACAATGTCGATCCTTACTGGAGACTCCTTCTTCTTCTTAACAAACTTTAGATAAGTTTTTTGATTTCCACAATAGACCGATGGATCTTGTTCCAATGACCTCTCATCGTGTGTCGCAACGCTTAGACTCAGGTCTCTTAGAGTCAAATTCCGGAATACTTTTCTTCATGTTCTAATGTGATATAATCACATTTCAACATGTAGCATTTCTAGCTACCAACTTCTTTAACTATGAGCGCGATACTGCTTCGATTATCTTTTACTTCAATCTTCTTGGCTTAAGTCAGATGCTACATCGAACTTAGTTCTCTGAACCATGTAACATACTCATCGTAGCCGGACTCAATTTGATATGACCACTAGGGTCGGAATAACAATCATCTTCTTAGTCATTACCGAAACAATGGTGATGACATACATGAACAAAACAGAATCAACTACTAGCTTCTTGGTAACCTTGTGAGTTTCCCTGATCCAAGTGTGAGTCCTGTACTTCCGGTAGTATAGGCCTCTACTACCATTCACACCTACTCATACTCGTCCCAAGTATTGTCTCGCAGTTTTCCAAGTCATTATCACAAAAAAACAATTTTTAACACATATAAATGTGTCTAAACAATCATAAAATTTTCCCTAGACTCTACTAGGACTTCTTCCATGCGTATGTTCAATCATTAATTCTACTTCAACTCGGTTGGCGGTGGAAACTCCATACGATGGGACAACTTAAGGAATTACACCGATCGTTCCATCATCCCGCCGATCGAATGTGTACTTCGGACGTACCATACTCTTCTAAACACACTGTTATTTTACCATACATATTCTAAAGGCAAGATACCGCTCTTACGATATCTTCTGGTAGGTGTCATTCACTATCATAAGCCTTTTCATTTCCTCCATTTACTCAATTTGCTACGAGCCTTCACCATGACGTTACGTTCACGGAAGCATGCGTTCAGCGCATCGAGACGAGAATATAGATAGAGAAGATTTAGACGTGTAATCCTCCTTATTACTCTGAAATGTTACATGCCAGTTCTAATACCGTAACTAAACGTTTAGAATTCTGAACACATAAAGTTTCCAGATCCGGTCGGCAACAGACCATAGATCCGATCAGACATGTAGCATCATAAATCATTTAGCACATAAAAGCATGTTAGGCATTTTCCCTAAATTAGCTAGTGCTTGTGTCTATTCAGGTGTATTACCTAAATTTTATTAGACACACTCCTCACAATCATGGCTTAGCATTCTAAGTTTAAGTTTAGAAATAAATCCATATTCCTAGTTCGCTTAAACTAATGCTCTGATACCAACTGTGACATCCCCATTTTCACGGCTAGAAAAGACCGATTTTGTTTATGCTTTATAAAAATCAGAGTACTTCTTTTAATAGAAATGTTGCGGAATTTGTTCCCAGAAAAACATGATAAATGTGTTATCAAAGCATTTCCGAAGAAATGTATTTTTATTCATTTTTAAAACATTTGGGATGTCATCGTCAATATAGAAACATAAGCATAAACAGAACTTACATTCATTTACACTGGTGATCTACATCTCTTTTAAGTCTCTCAGTGTAAAGTAGCTTCATATCGACACCTGTGATAGAAATAAGCTGGAGTGGGTCAGGTTGAGAAACCTGATGAGTACATAGGGTTTTCAACCCACAATAATATAATTATTATGTTTAAACATCAAACAATCAACCCAATTACCCATCCCCATTATCTTCTTTACTCTTAAGGATCTACCCTAAGAATCAACTATTCCTCGTTCATTCATTCCTAAGGATCATCCTAAGGAATCGGCAGGAAGTCCATCGTCACCGGGGTTTAGGCACTAAGTCTGCATAGTCGCCAGGATTTATACAACAGGCACTAAGTCCGCATAGTCGCCAGGGTTTAGGTACTAAGTCTGCATAGTCGCCAGGGTTTAGGCACCAAGTCTGCATGATCGCCAAGGTTTAGGCACCAAATCTGCATGATCGCCAAGGTTTAGGCACCAAGGCTACATGATCGCCAAGGTTTAGGCACCAAGTCTGCATGGTCGCCAGGGTTTAGAGTACACCGGGTGAACACATCGTTCACAACACCTACAGGTTGCAAGCCTGCTAGTGTTCCACTGGACTGTCTAGAATAGTCCGTGGTTGTCATCCATACTCTGCTAGATGATGGGGTCACGCTTCGGTAAAAGGCTTCTCTCATTGTTCACCTATCACCCTTATCTCATGGTCTATATCACCTCTTATCTCAACATTCAATTCATATTTCATCTACCCATGTTTTACCCAACATATTTTGTAGATATAAAATACATATACATTTTAAATCATTTAAAACATGTATAAAATCTTTCATTCAGCATAGACAGCAAGTATTCAGACGATATGCACATATATCATGTAATTTATATAAAATACTTCATATCTATGTGTAAGATGAAAGTAACTATGCACTCACCTGGTAAGGTGGTGACTCGGTACTCGGACAACACTTCGTTATCTCAAAACAATTTTCCCTTGACAAAACCTAGTATCAATACCAATAGGGTTTAGTCTAACGTTAACTGCGACTAATTAATAGTCTAGCTATTATTACTATTATATAAGCGTTAAGTAACACTCTTATATAACTCATAATAATAGCCCATATATTTATTATAAGGTCCTAATAATATTACTATATTTAAACATAAGCTATACTTAAGGTAGGGTAAGCATATCTCACTTACCAGGGGTTTGGCTAGGAGCCGGGCTCTGCAGGGGCAGAACTTCCGAGCCAAAAGCTCTTCTTCTCGGAGCCTTCCGGCGTTCCGGGACTCGCCTCTAACACCTAAGAGGTGCTAGGGAAGGGGGGAAGAGGGTTTGGGGTAATGGGAGAGAAAGAGTATGAAAGGTGTGAGTTTTGGGGGTGATTTACGCCTCTATTTATAGGCTGTTTGGGCCGATTCACGTCGTGAGAAAGGGTGCTCACGTGGTGAGCCTTGCGTAGGCTCTAAGGCGAAGTCTGGTGCTGACACGTGGCGCCGGACTCAGGTAAAACAACCTATCTTTAAAAATTCATAACTTTCGCATACGAACTCCGTTTTTGACGTTCTTTATGTCCACGCGTAGGTAAAGACAAGATCTACAACTTTCCTTTTGACTCCATCATAAACATACACAAGTTATTCAACTTAAAGGGCATTTTTCTGGATCACTAGCACACACAGCCACTAGTCTAATACTATCACATTTCTTGAAACGAATTTTATAGCCCTTATAGATGGAATAATTTGTTAAACATAATTTCAGTTCGTGTCTAGATTCATACCTTTCTCCAATAACCGGTTTCATCACATTCCATTTGACCTTCGGATTATGGATGGAGTATATGATTTCATCTTCATCACTAGATTCGTCAGTGTTTTCCTCATCATCTAGTTCTACTCGAGCATTTTCTCCTTCACCTTCCACTGGTTTGTCATCACTGTCTTCACAAAGAACATTAAGGAATTCATCTTTGCATCTTGAAACTGATTTGGTTTTTACAAAATCATCAACTTGAACGTCGATTGTGTCAGGCTTAAATACTTCATCCATCGCCAAAGGACACGAGCATAATCGATTGATCGATTTGTCAGGAATAAAGGAGACGAGAAAAAAGGGTTTTCAAAGAAAACCCTAAATTAATGAGGTCAACGATACAGTCACCATTAAGATGCCATGTAGACTTCTTTAACCGGGAAAATGAGGGTCACCGGATGATAAGGACTAAATTGTCCGGTTTATCCGGTTTATTGGGCTTTTTCATTCAAAAAAATTTTTTTAGGACTTTTTTGAAACTTTTGCCAAAATATAGGGACTTTACTGTAGTTATCCCTTAATAGTATGAGAAGATTACACTGTTAAATGTCCGCGTAAAATTCGTAACTTCTTCATACAGACTCCGTTTTCATCTGTCTTTTTATCGTTGAGTTCCTATTAATGAGATCTTCAACTCTCATTTAGGTCGCGTAAGCCAAAAACCGCTCGAACTAAAATTCGAGTTTCGGGTCGTGCACTGCTAAACCAAATCTTAGAAAATTCATAACTTCCTCATACGAAGTCAGATTTGGGCGTTCTTTTTTTGTATGTTCTCGGTTTAATGTATACTACAACTTTCGTTTCGATCACTAAGGCTAAAAAGTCCTCCATCGTAATTTCACTATTTACGTCTCCCGGTGCCGTGCCGATTTTGCCGTATAACTTCGACGGGCCATAACTTCTTTGTTATAACTCGGATTTCGACGTTCTTTATATGTACGGAACCCTTGTAACATATAATCCCACTTGGATAAGATTATTCCTTTTAAATAATCTTCCATCAAAAACTCATTTTTGATCCTCACTGTATCTAAATTGACTAGCCCGGATCTGCGGGCATTACAATTATCTCCCCCTTAGGATGATTACGTCCCGGAATTATCAACGAAATAGGGTTGTATAATGAATCCATGCGTTATCTCTTCATCCTAGGTAATAACCGTAAGTCCTATGTTCCTTTAAATTAACTTCTTTAATTGCAGGCGGTGCTCGATCTTGAATCCGCTCTCTGTCTCATGTTAGACTCCAAATTATGACCTTCAAGTCACAATGTCGATCCTTACTGGAGACTCCTTCTTCTTCTTAACAAACTTTAGATAAGTTTTTTGATTTCCACAATAGACCGATGGATCTTGTTCCAATGACCTCTCATCGTGTGTCGCAACGCTTAGACTCAGGTCTCTTAGAGTCAAATTCCGGAATACTTTTCTTCATGTTCTAATGTGATATAATCACATTTCAACATGTAGCATTTCTAGCTACCAACTTCTTTAACTATGAGCGCGATACTGCTTCGATTATCTTTTACTTCAATCTTCTTGGCTTAAGTCAGATGCTACATCGAACTTAGTTCTCTGAACCATGTAACATACTCATCGTAGTCGGACTCAATTTGATATGACCACTAGGGTCGGAATAACAATCATCTTCTTAGTCATTACCGAAACAATGGTGATGACATACATGAACAAAACAGAATCAACTACTAGCTTCTTGGTAACCTTGTGAGTTTCCCTGATCCAAGTGTGAGTCCTGTACTTCCGGTAGTATAGGCCTCTACTACCATTCACACCTACTCATACTCGTCCCAAGTATTGTCTCGCAGTTTTCCAAGTCATTATCACAAAAAAACAATTTTTAACACATATAAATGTGTCTAAACAATCATAAAATTTTCCCTAGACTCTACTAGGACTTCTTCCATGCGTATGTTCAATCATTAATTCTACTTCAACTCGGTTGGCGGTGGAAACTCCATACGATGGGACAACTTAAGGAATTACACCGATCGTTCCATCATCCCGCCGATCGAATGTGTACTTCGGACGTACCATACTCTTCTAAACACACTGTTATTTTACCATACATATTCTAAAGGCAAGATACCGCTCTTACGATATCTTCTGGTAGGTGTCATTCACTATCATAAGCCTTTTCATTTCCTCCATTTACTCAATTTGCTACGAGCCTTCACCATGACGTTACGTTCACGGAAGCATGCGTTCAGCGCATCGAGACGAGAATATAGATAGAGAAGATTTAGACGTGTAATCCTCCTTATTACTCTGAAATGTTACATGCCAGTTCTAATACCGTAACTAAACGTTTAGAATTCTGAACACATAAAGTTTCCAGATCCGGTCGGCAACAGACCATAGATCCGATCAGACATGTAGCATCATAAATCATTTAGCACATAAAAGCATGTTAGGCATTTTCCCTAAATTAGCTAGTGCTTGTGTCTATTCAGGTGTATTACCTAAATTTTATTAGACACACTCCTCACAATCATTGCTTAGCATTCTAAGTTTAAGTTTAGAAATAAATCCATATTCCTAGTTCGCTTAAACTAATGCTCTGATACCAACTGTGACATCCCCATTTTCACGGCTAGAAAAGACCGATTTTGTTTATGCTTTATAAAAATCAGAGTACTTCTTTTAATAGAAATGTTGCGGAATTTGTTCCCAGAAAAACATGATAAATGTGTTATCAAAGCATTTCCGAAGAAATGTATTTTTATTCATTTTTAAAACATTTGGGATGTCATCGTCAATATAGAAACATAAGCATAAACAGAACTTACATTCATTTACACTGGTGATCTACATCTCTTTTAAGTCTCTCAGTGTAAAGTAGCTTCATATCGACACCTGTGATAGAAATAAGCTGGAGTGGGTCAGGTTGAGAAACCTGATGAGTACATAGGGTTTTCAACCCACAATAATATAATTATTATGTTTAAACATCAAACAATCAACCCAATTACCCATCCCCATTATCTTCTTTACTCTTAAGGATCTACCCTAAGAATCAACTATTCCTCGTTCATTCATTCCTAAGGATCATCCTAAGGAATCGGCAGGAAGTCCATCGTCACCGGGGTTTAGGCACTAAGTCTGCATAGTCGCCAGGATTTATACAACAGGCACTAAGTCCGCATAGTCGCCAGGGTTTAGGTACTAAGTCTGCATAGTCGCCAGGGTTTAGGCACCAAGTCTGCATGATCGCCAAGGTTTAGGCACCAAATCTGCATGATCGCCAAGGTTTAGGCACCAAGGCTACATGATCGCCAAGGTTTAGGCACCAAGTCTGCATGGTCGCCAGGGTTTAGAGTACACCGGGTGAACACATCGTTCACAACACCTACAGGTTGCAAGCCTGCTAGTGTTCCACTGGACTGTCTAGAATAGTTCGTGGTTGTCATCCATACTCTGCTAGATGATGGGGTCACGCTTCGGTAAAAGGCTTCTCTCATTGTTCACCTATCACCCTTATCTCATGGTCTATATCACCTCTTATCTCAACATTCAATTCATATTTCATCTACCCATGTTTTACCCAACATATTTTGTAGATATAAAATACATATACATTTTAAATCATTTAAAACATGTATAAAATCTTTCATTCAGCATAGACAGCAAGTATTCAGACGATATGCACATATATCATGTAATTTATATAAAATACTTCATATCTATGTGTAAGATGAAAGTAACTATGCACTCACCTGGTAAGGTGGTGACTCGGTACTCGGACAACACTTCGTTATCTCAAAACAATTTTCCCTTGACAAAACCTAGTATCAATACCAATAGGGTTTAGTCTAACGTTAACTGCGACTAATTAATAGTCTAGCTATTATTACTATTATATAAGCGTTAAGTAACACTCTTATATAACTCATAATAATAGCCCATATATTTATTATAAGGTCCTAATAATATTACTATATTTAAACATAAGCTATACTTAAGGTAGGGTAAGCATATCTCACTTACCAGGGGTTTGGCTAGGAGCCGGGCTCTGCAGGGGCAGAACTTCCGAGCCAAAAGCTCTTCTTCTCGGAGCCTTCCGGCGTTCCGGGACTCGCCTCTAACACCTAAGAGGTGCTAGGGAAGGGGGGAAGAGGGTTTGGGGTAATGGGAGAGAAAGAGTATGAAAGGTGTGAGTTTTGGGGGTGATTTACGCCTCTATTTATAGGCTGTTTGGGCCGATTCACGTCGTGAGAAAGGGTGCTCACGTGGTGAGCCTTGCGTAGGCTCCAAGGCGAAGTCTGGTGCTGACACGTGGCGCCGGACTCAGGTAAAACAACCAATCTTTAAAAATTCATAACTTTCGCATACGAACTCCGTTTTTGACGTTCTTTATGTCCACGCGTAGGTAAAGACAAGATCTACAACTTTCCTTTTGACTCCATCATAAACATACACAAGTTATTCAACTTAAAGGGCATTTTTCTGGATCACTAGCACACACAGCCACTAGTCTAATACTATCACATTTCTTGAAACGAATTTTATAGCCCTTATAGATGGAATAATTTGTTAAACATAATTTCAGTTCGTGTCTAGATTCATACCTTTCTCCAATAACCGGTTTCATCACATTCCATTTGACCTTCGGATTATGGATGGAGTATATGATTTCATCTTCATCACTAGATTCGTCAGTGTTTTCCTCATCATCTAGTTCTACTCGAGCATTTTCTCCTTCACCTTCCACTAGTTTGTCATCACTGTCTTCACAAAGAACATTAAGGAATTCATCTTTGCATCTTGAAACTGATTTGGTTTTTACAAAATCATCAACTTGAACGTCGATTGTGTCAGGCTTAAATACTTCATCCATCGCCAAAGGACACGAGCATAATCGATTGATCGATTTGTCAGGAATAAAGGAGACGAGAAAAAAGGGTTTTCAAAGAAAACCCTAAATTAATGAGGTCAACGATACAGTCACCATTAAGATGCCATGTAGACTTCTTTAACCGGGAAAATGAGGGTCACCGGATGATAAGGACTAAATTGTCCGGTTTATCCGGTTTATTGGGCTTTTTCATTCAAAAAAATTTTTTTAGGACTTTTTTGAAACTTTTGCCAAAATATAGGGACTTTACTGTAGTTATCCCTTAATAGTATGAGAAGATTACACTGTTAAATGTCCGCGTAAAATTCGTAACTTCTTCATACAGACTCCGTTTTCGTCTGTCTTTTTATCGTTGAGTTCCTATT